CCTTGCTCTCCCTTTGGTCCCTCACGTCCTGGCGGTCCTCTGTCACCTCGTTTCCCTTCCTGTCCATCTAGTCCTGGAGGCCCTGGTGATCCTTTCGAGCCACAAGCCTGATAATGAAATTTAAGCATATTTGATATTTGCAGATTGCATTGAAACATACTTTTTTTTAAAGAAACAATCTATTTGAGAACTTACTTGGACCACGGCAACAATGAAGATGACCAATATGAAAGTACTGAAAAGATGCATAGACAATCTGAAATTGTCTTGTGCACAGTGGTTGATATTTTGCAAATTTTCTTAAATTTGTTGATGGTATAAATCCTTTAAATTTCATTTTAAACATTTTAATTTTTGATACTTTCAAATGTTGCAATAATGGAATAAGAAAGGTTGCCAAAAGAGCTTTTTAGGCTTTTTTAGAAGATCATTTGCAGATAGAAATCTTGTCTCTTTTTATTCACACTCCTCATTTTCTTAAACAAGCCTGTAATTCATGAGTCATAATTTTAAAAAATCCCAAGACATAAAATGTGACAAAAATTTTAACACTTCAATAAAATTTGATGTAATCAAATCTCAGGAAGAAATATTCTATTTATATTGAATTCTTTCCGGAATTCACAAACAAAAGAATATTTCGAGAATTCTTTGTGAAATGGTCGCATGGAATGGAACAAAATGTGAGATTAAGCGATTAGCAACGCTGTCTATGAATATCTTTTTACAGGATGATTCAGAATGAACGGAAAGAAGATCCGATCCACTGATGGGAAATCAACAGCTTCTGGAGAATCCAACAAAATCGATAGAAAAAACGGATTTTGAATCTTCAGAAACAAAAATTATTTGGTGTTTGTTATTTGCAGATTAGCCTCTCGAATTGTTTAACATACGTGAAAGAAATTGCTGAGGTGTTAGCAATAAGTCTTAATTTAGAAAATTCCCCAAAAAATTATAAAATGTGCCAAAAAATTTTACAGTATATGAAACAAACTGGAATTAATTGAATAGAATGTAAAAATTTCATCTGGTATGTGAGAGAGGATTTGAAAATTTAAATTGAAACCTAATGAAGCAGATTTGGAAGAGAAATTTTCTGTTTATATTAGAGAGTAAAATATCTGATATGAATCATTCCGAAATTCGTGAAACAAAGCAACATTTCAAAAATTGGTCGTGAAATGGTTACATGGAATGAAGCAGAACACAACATAAAATAATTTTTAACGGTACCTATGAAAATTGAACGAACGTTTTTGATTTAAAATGAATGGAAGGATCGGTCGACTGGTAGAAGAGCAACGGTTGATAGTGAGTCCCGGAAGGTTTAATAAAAAACAGATGTTGGACTTCGGGAAATAAAAATGATTTGGGAATGTGACGGATCGGTAAGTTGTTTATTGTAGTGAAAACTGGATTACTCGTAGTCATCCCGAAGACAGCTTGGTCTTGCTGGAAGTTCAAGTCATAATGAACAGTCAAAATCGAAAGTTTCAGGGATGAATAGGTCCGTGAAATTGCCGTAAAGATCTGCTGAGCACACTGAGAATAAAAAGATTTTCAATAATAGAAACTATCAGAGATAACGGACACTCCTTCTCAGTGATCAGTGTTTTGAATTTTATAGTCTTTCATTATGTGGCAAAATTTGTATAGTTAAAAGCCTGAACGGAATTTTGAACCCTTTGATAAGCGTAAATATACAGCCGTGATTATGCATGTTACTTATAACGCACAATCAATCGCTAAGATTATTAAATTTTTCACTATTTTCTACATTGTTCTTTGTTCAGAAGCAGCTAAGGTTGTCAAAAAAGTAGGTTAATATTCAGTAATTCAAAGAATTTCAGAAATTATTAAAGGATAATCAACCTGCGGATGACCGGAATCGACAGATTCCAAATCGCCTACGTTTCTCAAAGGTTCAAAACCTGTTCTTCCATCCATCCTTCTGGATTGTTCAAATTTTCGAGCACTTCAAATCATCGCAAAAAAAGATCCGTTCAGATTTCACAGACATCGCCAACAATCTTTTGATGATGAATTTTGTTGCATTCGAGGGGACCGTTCCACTAACTAATACTTTTTAAAATGAGAATTGATTACTTTCTGATTCATATCACTGCAATTTATCTTTGACACTGAACGATTCATTGTCGGCTCACATTGGTTATGAATTTTTTGAATTTTATAACAGTCTTTTGGTTGAGATTGATAGTTCAAG